ATATATATAGTTTATGTAAAGTCGCGCAATGATGTAGAATACCTTCGACATGTATGTATATATCTTGTATGTGAACCGTAGTCCCGCGCTGCCTTTAAACTAGCATACATTTTGTACCAGTGTGCGTACCTAAGAGAAACACAAACCTTACAATTCTCAATACACTTTTGCACTAATCGTCGTCATCGTCGCCGTCGCCGTCGCTTCTTAGCCTCCGTTCAAAACTTAGCTTTAAACGTTCGTTTACGCGCAGCTTATGAAGGACCCTATATTCAAATACATTTAGCCGTACTATACCAAACCATAATCTATATACATACATATATACACAGATATGCGTATTTAAACAAAAAGAGCTAAAGAGCTAGAGATCTATATAGCCATATCTCATTGCTATATCTCTAATTGTACTTACATGTATTATAGTTGCCTCTTGGATATATACTCTATGTTGTAAATGTCAAAAAAAACGAAAGAAACCAAAAAGAAATCATTTTTATATATATGTGACAACTATACAGAAGACTATATATATATAGCGCTACAAATCTATACGTACATATTTACGAGTACTATATATATAAACGAGCATATATTTTTCGCTTCTTATGTTATTTATCTACTTGCCCATCTCTCTTTCAAACTCTCTATCTGTCTTTCTATCTAACTTGTAACTAAAACTAACTGTATTTAAGTGCGAAGAGTAAGAATGACAACAACAAATGAAATGAAATGAAATGAGATACGAGAAATGGGGCATAGCGAAATGATTGAATTGCAAACTATGTATGTAATTCAACTCTTGAAGAGTCCATTTGTAATATGAATGAAAATACAAAATTAAACAACGCTTTCGCAACTTTACTAAAACACATCGAACGCTTTTCAATTTTCAAATTCAACAAATGCGCGCGCGCAACCCTTCACTAGCGCAGGTCACATCACTAGATTTTGTTGACTGCACGGATGGCAGAACATTAAAAGGATAAACATTATCGATTAATCGATACATAAACAGTAGTTAAAATCGACGTTATACAACTTGATTAAATATCGTTGGCGGGACTGGAATTTCCCTTTGAATTGATTGATTGAGAAAATCTATACATTTAATATTTCCCATTTCCCATAAATAAAATAAAATAAGAATTCCAATATTTTGTGTAATTTTGTTGCTTTGTTTTATATATGCCACAATTCCACGTTTATTATGTTGCATGTACATATGTATATGTAGATGCGTGCATGTACTTCATTTGTATTTGTTATATATCTGTATCTGTATATGAATATGTATATCATGTATATTAACACCTTTAATGGCTAAACTTAATTTAATTATTACAGTTAGAGGRCCTTAATTACAAACAGCGGTTTGACTTTTCAGTATCAACTTAAAAATATATTGACGTGAAAAAAAAAATGCCTTAACTTGGTTGTATTAATAATTAAGTGTGTTTCTTTTCTCTTTTGTTTCTCGTTTATAATAGGTTTAGATTTAAGATTTTTAGAATTTTCTGTTAGCTTTTCTTTTGCATTATGTTCCATTTCAATTAGCAAATTGCGCGCTGCGCTGCAGCCTTCTCAATAAAGAATAAAATATTTTTAAAAAAATTTTAAATATATATAAAAATAAGCAAAAAAAATTGAAACAAGGTCTGAAATCATATCWTATATATACATATGTATATATAAGTAAATGTGAGTGTAACTAAAACATATGCACAATAAATAGTTAACATTTGCTTGGTGGTATTTCAGTGTCTGCGTGTGTGTGTGCATGTGTCTGTATGTGTGTACTAGCATATACATGTTAAACTAAATTAAATTAATTAATCTTTAAATCATTAAGAAAAGTCCATAAAATAAGCGTTTTCATTTGTTTTTTTTTTCACTAATCTTTTTTTTTGCTGTTCTGTGCGAGTGATAAAAATAAAATATAAACTAAAGAGAAAAATTTCAAAATTATTAAAATTGTTGACTCTCAACACTCTACTTGAAATACATTTTGAGTTATGTACGGAAGCGATATTTTAAAATTAATTACACAGAAATAAGGAAAGTAAATTTAAAAAAAAAGATGAATAAGGTCAAATCAGAGGTAGAAGTCAATTAGCTCTCCTAAATCCTTCTAAATATTCTTTTCTTTCTTTTTTTCTTCATCTTCATGTTTCTTGATTTGGCTTATAAATGTTTGAAAGAGCCCGGCGTGTCCGAAATGGATCGCGTCGTGGATTAGATTGGGGTTTTACACTTGGGTGGATGGAGTGAAAGTGAAGAATTGAAATGTATTCTAATAGTTGAACTCCTCCTGCTTCTCCGAGTCGCTGCGCAAATCATTCATGAGCGGCTCAAAGCATGACTTTGGTATCATAGTGCCGACTATTTTCTGTCCCTCCGTTGTCTTCATGCGTATCACCTGCATTTTGCTGTTGGAGCGCGTGTTCAGTATGTGCTCAACCCGTCCCCAGACGGACAGCACCGAGCCGGCCAACACATGATAGAGGCGCTGTCGAAGACCCACCTGCAAATGGATATCAAAGGGATTAGGTCTTCATCAGAGCGAGTCCATAGCTGATCCGGCCTTACCTCACAGTCGTTGCCCAGACTGACGTTGCGGCAATTGCCATTCCAATAGGCGTGGGAGCAGGTGTGCACCGAGGCATCGTATTGCTCGGTCCAATGCGGCTCGGCCTCCTCACTGCTGACCTTGCGATACTTCTTCTCCAGCTCAAAGAGCGATTCGTGGCGCACCTGCAGACCCGTGTTGGGCCGGTAGATCTGGCACATGATCTCCTTCTTGCTGCGTGTCTTCTTCTTCTGCGCCTTGCTGCTGCTGCTGCTGTCCGCCTCCCCGGAGTTGCGAGCCGCCGGCTGCTGCTCGATGACAACCACCAGGATAGCCGTGCGCTTGTGGTTGCGCAACTGATGCGACGTGTAGAAGCCCTCGTGCTCGTTAAACAGATCCGCATATCTGCCAGAGATTAGATCAAACCGATGCTCATCATCTGTCATATCCACCTATACACATTCGCTGTTCAACACTCACTTGTCAATGGCCTCCTGCCAAATCATGCCGCGCTCCACGCGCACCGTGTGAAGCTCTGTGGGCGCCACGCCTGTGGCATGTTTGCGCATGAAGCGGATCAGACGCACGCGGGTCACGTTCTCGCCGGCTGCGCCCAAATCTGAAAATGAACGGGGATTTCGAGTCAGATATGGCCTAGTAATAGCCTAGGTATATTCCCTCATCTGATTTCAAATAGCTAACTGCTATAGAAACTATGGAGAACCTATTCTCAAAAAGAATTATTTCCAAGCCAATTCTTCTTGAGAAACAAGTTATTTTCTTTCGTTGTTCTTTTGCTCTTCTTCTCTTTGCTCTGCCTTCTCTTTTCTTTTAATGTATTATCTTTCTACTTTAATATCTCTCAAGTTTTATGATTGCCCTTTCCTTCTGCTTTCCTATCCCTCTGCCGGTGGCCTTTTCTTTCAATTCTCCTTTTCTTTTTCTCTTCTACCTGCTTATCCATTTGCTTCTCTTTGCTTCTTTCTTAACACATTGCTCCTGCCTTCCACATTCATTTCCTCTCTCATTCTCATTTCATTAGGTTTCTTCTCCTTCTCTGCTTTTCTTCTTCTTCGTTTCACTCTCTTCTCAGTCGCTGTCCAACACTCACCAACAATGCCCAGATCGAAGCGTCCGCCACGCTTGGCCTGGTTGATGATGGCCGCCATGGTGTCCGTGAAGTATTTGAAGAGGCGATTCTGCAGGTCCACCGGACAGCCGAGGATGCGATTGAGAAACTTGGATATGTTGTTGTAGTCCTTGTCCAGGCTGAGCACGCCCGGGTGGCTCTCGCTGTTGACTATGATGCCCACGCCGACCAGGGCGCCGGCAATGTCCTTGAAGAACTCGCCATTGTAGTCGGTGGGCGGCGGCACCAGCGGTGTCTCATAGCCCATTATGGTGCGCATGACCGTCTCCAGAGCCTGCCGGCCGTACTTGTTGTCAATGTTGAACTGGGAGAGATCGCGCGTCTCGGTGGCGCGCCGATCGCCGTGCGTGAGAGCGCCCAGAGACTCCAGTCGCTTGGCCACCGTCGAGGCGAAACGCCGCTCGCCCGCCAGGTCCGAGATGAGGAATATGTACTCAGGCGCATTCACCTGGTTGGAGCGATGGGTGCGGCCAAACTGTTGGATCGCACGGTCCGCGGACCACGGCAGCTCCAACGTGATGTGAACGCGCCGTCGCTGGTTGAAGACGCGCCGATCGCTCTGCAGCGAAATGCCACTGGAGGCGGCCTCCGAGATGATGGCCACATCCTTCTGGCCATCCATGAAGCGTTGCTTCTCCGTTATGTTGAGCGTCTCGAGCGGCACATCCGATTCGGTGCGCGACTCATACTGAATGGAGCCGTCATCGCTCTGGACGACCCGACCCCGTCGGCCCGTCATCTCGGCCACGTTATCCGGCCCGCCCAGCTCGTCGATCAGCTGGTCCAGCGTGTTCGGCGG